CTAACCCCAAACTCATCAGTTAATAGACTCCCGTTGGCTTCAAAGAGCTTCGGATTATAGAATCCTAGCAGATCAGGGTTGGAAGGGCCATCAGAAGGTCATCTAGTCCAACCCTCTGCTCAAAGCAGGACCAATCCCCAGATAGATTTTTGCCCCAGATCCCTAAATGGCCCCCTCAGGGATTGAACTCACAACCCTGGGTTTAGCAGGCCAATGCTCAAACCACTGAGCTATCGTCCCCCCCCCCCCCCCAACGGGATCAGGCCCCTTGGACAAAAGCAGCCTCTGGTTTTGGCTCTCCTCCTTGAGACCCTCTGGGCTTGATTTTTTCCCAGAGGCGCTGAGCACCCGCAGCTCTCATTGACTTCACTTGGAGTTGTGGGTGCTGAGCGCCTCTGGATATTAGGCTCACGTTGGGCACTCGAAATGAATGCACACGTTCGGCACTTTGGAGTTGATCTCTCTATGCCTCAGTTTCCGGACGGGTCATCTGGGGAGAATAAATGTTTTCTGCCTCATGGGGGTGGGGAGAGGAGTCGTTAGGTAAATGTTCAGCCGGTGCCTGGGATATGTGAAATGCTGCACATCATGAATGCCATCCCTCGTTAGAAAAATACAGCGTCTGGAGGTATTATCTCGGCTACGAAAGATGGATCACTGTATTGCTAATGGTAGAAATGCCACTGACCCCCATGCCCTTGAAAACCGGTACTGATCTAGGGCCAGCTTGTGAATAGCCCTAACATGACTGTAGCCCTAGCCCTTCCTAGCCTACCATGCTAGACTTACCCAGATCTTCATGTGCTGTGTGGAGTGCAGCGGCTGAATTCCACCTGCTCCCTTTAGCAAAGGGACGGAGATTTGGTGGAGCCAGGGCTCCTCGCTCCTCCTTCCCCAATGCTCTGGTGGCTGGGGAGGGGGAATAAGTTGCATCTGTGAAGGGCTGCAGTAAATCACTTCCCCTTCAGAGCAAGAAAGAAGAAGAGGTTAGTCTGCGGGTGCTGTGGCCTACACAGAGTTGTACCTAAGGGCACAATCTCGCCCATGGCTTTTGGATCTCTGGTGGAATTATTTAATCTTTTGACACCTTTTAGGTCCAGTCCTGTTCCCACTAAAGTCAGCCGGAGCATTCAACGCACTTCAATGGGAGCTAGATCAGGTCCTTGGTAGTTGGTCCTTACCTAGCGCAGCAGCATCGTTAGGTGTCTCAGAAATACTCAGGATAAACAGACTAGACCGTTTCAGTTCCCACCAAATATCAGAATTTAGTCCTACATTTAAGTCTGGCAATAGCCATAACATTTCAGATTATGGAGCTATTTCGCTGCTTTCTCAAGCCCCATAACTTCTGGAGAAATGAGTGTGACGGCAAATTAATGGCTCTGATTTGCAAGTGCTCAGAAGGTTTTGGGTTCCCATCAGTCTGGCTGTAGGCCAGCTAACAGCATTATCACTCCTATCAGTGAATTAACAGGTGACTTTCCCTTGCGTACAGCGCAGGGTAAAATGATTGGTTGGTATCTTATGGGGCTGCCTGAAGCTTTTGGTTCAGGTACCCTGCAGCCTAATCACAAAGAAGCAAATACTTTTAGTTGAGGACGGCCCAGAATGCAGGTGACCCAATGTGGTTTCCCCTGGGAGGGAGCAGGAAGTGGCGAATCTGTGTTAAAAAAATTTACTTCTTGGTGGCCGCTGGGGATTGTGCTGCCTTTGTTGGTGAAAGCCTGTGAGCAAAGTCTGGGCCCAGTAATCTTCAAATAGGGGGTGGCCCAGCCCTCGTTCAAGAGAAGTGGCATAAATTATCTCACACGGTCCAGCCTTCACTTTGTGGGGAAGGTCAGGAAGAAGGTAGTGCCAGGCCAACTCCTGCAGCAGCTGTATTCTTTCCCTTTTTGTGGAGCTTAGTCAGTCGGGCTTCCGAGCTGGATATGATATGGAAACTGCCTTGATTGTTGTAACTGCCTTCGGGTAGTGGAAAGAGGTTGTACATCCATGCAAATAAAATAAAATCGATCAGCACCTTCAATACCCATCACTATGCGTTGCTTTTGATTCTCCTGTGGAACCTGGCACCAATAGCCAGAATTGCTTTCAGGTGACTTTGGGGGGGCTTGTCTACATTTGAAAGCTAATTTGAATTAATGTAGGGTGTGAATTTAAAGCACAATAACTATCCCTAAGCAGCTTCATGTATGGACATTCCTATTGTAGAATAAGTGTGTCCACCCATGCATCAAGTCCGGAATAGCTCTATGTGTAGACAAGCCTGCGGGCCTTCTCCGCGAGAGAGGATTCTGAGCTCCTCTGACACCCATGCTGCCTTGTGGGCCGTGAGAAGGAAGAAACGAGCCACATTGCAATGAACTCTGGCCACACCCTTTTCCTGCTCCTGACATGCTCACTGTGTTGGGACTGGGTGTGGGGCATTGGAGCCTTCGTATGCTGGGGGCATTTCCCTGAGAGCACTTCTGCCCTCTTAGGCTATGTCTACACTGCAGTCACAGGGATTGGTCCTGCTTTGAGCAGGGGGTTGGACTAGATGTTCTCCTGAGGTCCCTTCCAGCCCTGATATTCTATGATTCTATGATGTGATTGCAGCTTGCAGAGACCTAGCCAAGCTAGCTTTAATCTAGCTAGTTCAGGTACTAGAGGGGTGAGGCTGTGGCACCATGGGTTTCAGTACAGGCTAGCCCCACAAGTGATTACCCAGGGTTCCAGGCGGGCTTGTAGAGCTGTCCCTGAAGGCCGGGTTGCTGCAGCTTTGCTGTTCTGGTACCTGAGCTGGCTAGATGAAAGCTAGTGTGGGTATAGCTCCGCACACTATAGCTGTACCCTGTGATTGCTGCAGAAACAACCTTTAAGGCCCTTCTCTGCCACCAGAGCAGCGTAAAGTGGGCGGAGCCTCGGAGGGTAAGAGAAAATCAGCTCCCAAGATGGTGCTTTAAGTTCTGAGTTCTTTCTCATACTAGCTGTGGCATAGACTGACTTGGCACTCCCGGGCAAGTCACTACAGGGTACTTGTTTAAAAGGGCTGAGGCCTGGACTCCTCCTCTTGAAGTGAAAATTGAGCCTGCAACGTTTGCGTTTGCACTGTTGTGTCTGCACTTGACATGCTGTACCAATTTGAATACTTGCCGCTCTAGCTACCCGACCGCAAGTGCAGATGGGCTTGTTAGAGGTGTAAGCATTCAGATTTGCAGCCACGACATGTTTTGCAGGTGCAAAAAAAAGCAGGTAGAAGTTTTGCAGGTATATATTGCACCTGCAAAAGGGCAGGCACCTTGTCAGGAAACTTAGCATGCAACCGCTATCTGCCTCAGTTTCTGTAGGATTATACCTACCTCTCAGGTGTGCTATCTAATTAATATTTACAAAGCACTTAGAAAATCCAGTGTGGAAGGTGCTGTACAGAAATGCAAAGGAATATGATATGATTTCCAAGACTTATAAGCGGGATTTTAAGCTCTTTCTTGGCTAGTCTGAGAAACCGCAAACAAAAGGATTCCACATCGTTTGGGTCAGATCTTCCACTGGTGTAAGCTGGCATAGCTTCATTGATGTCAGTAGAGCTATGCCAGCCAACAGTTACTGAGGATCTGACCCTGTATTTTTAGCACTGTAGTTACTGCATGCCGCTAGGGGATCATGGTCTCTAAATCCTCTATCCAGTTGCTTCCAATTTTCCGTTGACAATAACTTTTTTTTTTTGCAGCTAACATTGCTACGTTTAGAACTATAACAGTATTTCTGTTTATCAATATATTATCTAACCCTTGTGTAAATTAGGTCTGAGAAAAAAATCTTATCTCTAACTCCCAATTATAGGCAGGTGAAATTAGAATGTATCCTCAGAGCTCCTCAGTTGCAAACACACAAGATTAATTACAGGAGGTTTTTCGTACTAAGGCTGAGGTTTTCTGAGTTACCGAAGGCTCTTGAGTGCCCGGTTTCTACTCCTTTTAAAAGGAATTAGGTATCTAAATCCCACAGACGACTTTGTAAATTCCAGCCTAAATGTAACAAAAATTAGTTAATGCTGAATCCTAAGAAGATACAGGTTTGTTTTGTTTGGCTAGAAGATAGTGGCTCGGATATTGTGAAGCAGAATAGAAGTTCCTAGGAATTTGGTTCAATCCTTCCTTAGCTTTTCAGAAACATATTTATTCACTAGCTAGTTAGTGATGTCCTAAGGCAGGGGTCGGCAATCTTTCAGAAGTGGTGTGCCGAGTCTTCATTTATTCATTCTCATTTAAGGTTTCACGTGCCAGTAATACATTTTAACGTTTTTAGAAGGTCTCTTTCTTTAAGTCTATAACTACTTTACATACAACAATAGTTTAAATAAGGTTTTTAAAATGTTTAGGAAGCTTCATTTAAAATTAAATTAAAATGCAGAGCCCCCTGGACCAGTGGCCAGGACCCGGGCAGTGTGAGTGCCACTGAAAATCAGCTCGCATGCCGCCTTCGGCACGCGTGCCATAGGTTGCCTACCCCTGTCCTAAGGGCTGCTTTGTCTGTTACCTGGGAACAATGCTGTGTGGCGTTTCCATATTAATGCCTTGTCAATGAATTGGATGTGATCCTGGCTTTTGTCCTCTGGGGTGATTTATAAAACATTCAAAGATACCTTGTATGACAGGTGTGAGCCTAAGTGGTGAACATGAAGCATGTAATTGGGAAGATGCTGCTGGCGCTGGTCATCCTCCTCCTCATTTGGTGTAAATCAATGTCCTTGACTTCAGTGGAGCAACGCCTACTTCCATCAGCTGAGGATCTGACTCAGTGTGTGCGTGTAGACTCTCTGGGGCCTGTTCTTTCATAGTGCAAACTGTGTTTGCATCTAAAACTTGAAACTCTTAGCTCTGTTTTCTGTTGGATACAACCACAGCGCAGAGCCGATAAGCCCAGGGCCATGCTGGTCCTGACCATGGAAAGTGGCTTTATAATATACGTGGCGTCATCTGCGGTGCTAAATGTTTCTTTTATTTCCCCCCCCCCAGCAATCAAAGAGAAGTACACCGACTGGACGGCGTTTCTTATACACGATCTGACAGGCTCCCGAACGGCACCTGCAAATTTACTGGAAGGCGTATGTATTAGATTGCAGTTTATATTTAATAACGTGGCACTGTATTTATATTATAGCGATGTTCAACCATGAAAATATAGGGCTCTGTGCTTGCAATGTCTGTGTATCCCTTTAGGGTGTGTCTGCACTACACTTGGGAGGTGTGATCCTGGCATAGGTAGATAGACTTGCACTAGCTCTGCTTAAGTTAGCGTGCTAAAAATAGAGGTGTGGCTATCACAGCGGGGCAGCGGCTTGGGGTAACCACCTCAGCTTGGACCCCGGGGGCCAGGCGGGCATGGTCTTGGGCTGCTAGCTGAGCTGCCAACCCTGCCGCGACATCTACACTGCTATTTTTAGCGCACTAACTTAAGGAGAGCTAGCTAGCTTAACAATGCAGATGCATTTCAAGATACTCCTCGCTTTGATCGCTTTGTTTCTGCCCACTCGTGCAAGTCACAAACACATGCATTCATTTTTAAAGAGTGCGGGTACTTCACTAGTTAGCCACAGGGTAGACTTAGTAGAATATCGCCAGGGTTTTTCAGTCCACAAGGCCAAAAATCCTAAACATTCAAAGAAACAGGGCATGGCTACACTAGCAGGTTTACAGCGGTGCAGCTGTAAGCTCTCTAATGTAGCCGCTCTAAGGTGGAGAGAGCTCTCCCAGCGGCTTACCTACTCCAGCCCCCGTGGGCGGCAGAAGCTCAGCGCTGTCCACACTGGCGCTTATGTTGGTGTAACTTATGCCACTCCGGGTGATTTATTCACACCCCTACGTGACCTAAGTTATGCCGACATAAGGTATAGTGTAGACATAACCTTAGATGATCATCCACAGTCACTTTCACGCTCCCGGCTAGAATATGCCGAAAGCCTAAGGGATTGACTCCTATCTCACACTGGTGCAATTCCAAACCATGTGAATGGGATCAGAATAAGCCCCCATGTCGCTTGTAGGCTCTACCCTACCTCCTTTGATGTTGGTAGAAGAAACCGGCAGGCAACAAGGCAGAAGTGTGGAGGGAGGAAACAGCAGCTTGGATAGAAGCCGTTTGCAATCTTGTGTTTAATGGTGTTATGCTCTGTTATGTGCGAGGTATGTGGGTAATACAGTACGTCATGCTGTGTTTGTAACCCACTGGTAAATAGAATTACTGTTAATCAGCACTGCAGATCATTGTTATCATTGCATATTGATTTAACAAGGTAATTTTCTGTACTGGAGCTGTTCATAAAAGGGTTCTTGCTGTACTTTCAAAATGAATACTCAATACAATCCAAATGTTAATGTTAGCATTCTGCTCTCATGGAAAAATGACAACTGATTGTTTGGCTTAGCTTCTAGCATGCAGATCAGAGAAGCAATATTAGCTTTATAATTGCCGGGCATCTATTATAATAAATTAAGTCATTACGGTGTTACTATATCCTTTGATGTTAAGGAATGTTTTATTGCACTGAAGCAATTGTATGGAAGAAAAATGACATTAAATCAGAATTCCATGATATTGTTATACACCTGTACCCCGATATAACGTGACCCGATATAACACGAATTCGGATATAATGCGGTAAAGCAGCGCTTCGGGGGGGTGGGGCTGCGCACTCCGGCGGCTCAAAGCAAGTTCGATATAACGCAGTTTCACCTATAACGCGGTAAGATTTTTTGGCTCCCGAGGACAGCGTTATATCGGGGTAGAGATATATTTAGAAACAGCATTTTGCCATGACATGATCCTTTAAGAGATTGTATGGATGCATTTAATAAATACAATAAGAAAGTTGCTAATACTGTAAGCAAATGTATTGCACTGAGATGTATCAACTATTCACAGAGCTGGTTGAAAATTTTCATGTTACACAATTTCAAACTTATTTTTTTAAATATTAAAAATAAAAGGGAACAAATTACAAAAGAAATATTGTGATTCCAACCCTCCTCTCCATTTTGTTGATCAACTCTAATGCTGGCTGAAGTTTGAATTTCAAATTTTTGCAGTTTTTTGAATGGGGAAAAAAGAGAAAAAAAGGGACAATTTTTTTGAAATACCGGCTTCCCTTTTTTTCCCAACCAGCCTAGTATGAACCATTTTTGAACTCTCTCTGATTTTCAAAATGTTTTAGAAATCCCTATAAAGGCTATTGGTTTTTACTGTGTGTTTCCTTCAACAGGCTTGGTACACAAACAGCTAACAATTTAGGCCCTGATCCTTCAAACACTTACGCATGTGCTTAATTTCATTGCTGTGAGCAATTGGGACTGCTTGAAGAAACAGGGTTGCCAACTCTCAGAATTTTATCGTGAATCGAATGATTTTTTTAATGTGTTTCTTAAAGCCCCAACTCCTGGAATCAAGAGATTTGTGCATGAGAATCTTCGCTTTCATTTAAAAAAAAAAAAAGTATGTTTCTAGACCTCGTGAATTTCAGAGAAAAGCTTGCAAATGTGAGGCAAGTGCACTCTAAAGGCTCAGAAACCCGAAGGGAAATAAAAAGAATCCAAAATATATTATTTTGTGGAAAAAACCCCACTCATGATTTTTTTTATCCCAATCACAGGATTTTTTTAGAGCCTGACTCGTGGTTTTGAGTGCTTGAGGTTGGCGGTACTGCAGTGGTAACGCTGAGTCTGTGCTTAAGTGTTTGCAGGATCGGGGCCTTAGCACGTACTCTGTGTGTAAGAAAATACACATTGTCATTGGAACTTCTTGTTTCACTTTAAATCAGCTATGAGGGCCTGATCCAGAAAACCGCTCTCTTTTAGCACCCGATCTCATGCACTTTGAAGTCAATGGGTGTCTTCCATGGACGTAGTGGCCTTCAAATTCCCACTGGATGACCCAGTCTTGCCCCCATTGAGATCAGTGGGAGGTTTGCCACTGATGGCAGTGGGAGCAGGATCAAATCCATGGTGAATGAGAGCTCTGTGCACATGGGGGCTTTCAGGATCATGCTCTGAGTAGCATGCCTTCTAGGTTAATTTCAGGGCCCAGTCCTATGATGGGATATACACCCCAAACTCCAGTTAGAGTCGGTGGGGGTGAAATCCCCTAGCAGGACTGGGCCCTGAATCCTTTGGAAGAATCCTACTAGGTGGATTCCTAAGAATCCTAAAATGTCCAACAGCAATTTTATTTTTTTGTTGGTTGAGAAATTAGCACAACTGTTGTTTTCTGTTTTCTTCTGAATTTGCACTTGGAAGCCGTTGGGTAAAAGAGGAGAACAGACTGTTTGCTGATAGCTTGGATGATGGTGTGAAAAACAAAAATAATCTTCTGCTGTCATCTGTTTCCTTGAGACGTCTTCAAATAAAATTTAAAATAAGGAGTTTTGCTTCTATTCAAACAGCCTCTGCGAGGAAAAAACCCTGTAGACCTCATTACAGTTGATTCCTTAATAGAGCTGCAGGATTCCCAGAACCCTTTTCAGTACTGGATAGTTAGTGTGGTTGAAAATGTTGGAGGAAGATTACGCCTTCGCTATGTGGGATTGGAGGAGACTGAATCCTATGACCAGTGGTTGTTTTACTTGGATTGCAGACTTCGACCAGTCGGTTGGTGTCAAGAGAATAAATACAGAATGGACCCACCTGCAGGTAAAATGGCTCGTTAAAAATATGCTCTCATCATTTGCATTTGAAACCTGTTTATTTACTGAGAATGGTGTGGATCTGCTGTTTGTTTCTTCTAGTTTATCAGTCATGGTTTTTTGACCACGAGTTACTCAGTTTAAACCCATTAGGCTGGTGGATTTGGTTAAGGGCATGAGGCTGGTTTTGTGGCTCAGACTCTGACTTAGATGACCTAAATTCAATTCCCTGCTCTACCATAGATTTTCTATCTAATCTAAGGGCAAAACCCCTAAGCGCTCTGCCCCTCATCTATGAAATGGGGATAAAGTGGCTTCCTGTGGGCTTTATGGCAAGCCGGGGCACTGTAGATTCAGCTCTTGTTTGCAGAGTAGTAACTTGTCGTGTAGATCAGCCCTTTGTCTAAGTTGGGTATGATAGGTTGGAAGTTCTTCAGGGCAGTGACTGTCTGTTACTACGTTTGTACAGTCCCTACTACAGTAGGGTCCTGATTCCTGACTGGAACTTCTAGGTGGTATTGTAATAATAATAATAATATAATGACAAGTATCAGAGGGGTAGCCGTGTTAGTCTGAATCTGTAAAAAGCAACAGAGGGTCCTGTGGCACCTTTGAGACTAACAGAATAGTCTCAAAGGTGCCACAGGACCCTCTGTTGCTTTTTAATAATATAATGAAAATCTCCTGAGAAATGTGTTTTGGAGCATAATGTCTCATTCTGGTGTAAACTAGAAATAATTCCACTGAAGTTAATGGCACTACTGCAATGTAAAATTGGAGTGAAAAGACGGAAAACCAGACCCACAGTGTAGTGGCTTTGTATAGGTAAGAAACTGAGTGGTGCCCTCTAATGGCTGGACTCACAGAGAGGCTAAAGGACCTACTACTGCTGCTGGCTAAGGGAGCTCTCTTTTAGTGCAAATGGTAGAAGTCTGACTTTTTAGAGTTGAAAGTCCACGATTATATTTTCCAATTCCCCTAAAGCATGTGCGATTTTTATACCAATTGTGTCTGTTGTTGCTATGTTAGAGTAGGACCAGATTTGACTTCAGGGGACATGCCTGTGGGATGAATTTTCCCCATAAAGTTGGGCTGGGCTGGGCAAACCTTGTCAGTTTCATTTTGAAGGAATTTTTTTTTTTGGATGCTTTTCCTCTTGGGTTAGAGTTGCTTTCATTTGCACCCCTGAGAGCTGCCCCGAGTTATGGATTCAGTCAAAGACAACTCAAAACGAAACTCAGCCAATGGCACATTTTGCCTGGCATTAAAAAGTCAGCACGTTTTTCAGCGGTATCGTTTCCACCCCAAGTCCCGAAGCAACTTGACTCAGCGTCATCAAAACGTTTCCCTCAACTCAAGTTATGGCTTGTAGTGAAACCCCAGACCAGGCAAAATTCCCCTTGAGGAGTAAGGATGATTTCTTAGTTAAGGCACAGGAGACCTGGCTTCTATCCCTAACTCTTCCTTTGTCCCTGGGGGCAGGTCACTTAACTTCTCTGGGCTTCAGTTGTCCCATGTGTAACAGAAGGAGTCTTTCTGTTGATTTCAATAAATGTTGAGTGTGGGAGAGTCGGGATTATCCCTGGGAAGGTGTTTTTAATGCTGCTTTCCTCCTGTGTTGCAAATCATTAGAGCAGTTACCAGGGTGAACACATTAAGGCAGGTCAGTGTTACAAATTTTTGTCAGCAAAGCTATGTTGGTCAGAGATCTAAACTCCTCCCCTCCCCTGCAGCTGACATAGCTATGCCAGAAACCACCTGCGTCCCCACCATGTAGATGTAGCTGTACTGACAGAAGAGTGCTACCATGGGGGCGGGAGGGAGAGGGGAATATTGCTATGCCAACAGAAAAACTCCTTCTGTTGGCATATGCTGCACCTCTACTAGGGGGCTCTGCCGGTGTGGCTCTGCCTGTCTAGCTGTGTCAGCAGAGCTGGTGTTGGGTAGAGTAGTCTTGTGTTGTGTAATAGTCTGTGGATCACCAAAACCCACCGTTTCATTGCTCCCCTCTGACGACCTCGCCGGCCAACTTAATTCTCAGTAAACACAGCTATGATTACCTCTGTCTTTTCTGCTTTTTGCTTCCATTCTCATACTGTATTTGTTTTGGGGTTTGTCTCTTTCCTTTGTTCTGGCTCCTTTTTAATCTCTTTGGGGTTTTTTCTTTTTCTTTTCTCTAACTTGGTTATTTGGCTTTCTTTCACTGTTCTTGTTCTCTCTCTCATTCTCTCTCTCTCTTCCTGCTGTCTCCTTCTCGCCTTGCTCTTTGCTTTCTCCCCATCGTCCTCCCACTGTTACGTGGGGCCCTGATACACTACTGTAAATCTGAAATAACTATTCAAGCCAGCTCTTCATTATAGCATCCAGTGGCTTCAATGGAGGTACATTGCTTCACACCAGCTAAGGGTCTGTTCCAGTGGAGTTACACCAGTGTAACGCTGGTGAGAGAGGAGAATCAAAGCCCTTGCTTCTGCCCCTGTCTCTCTGTCCGTCTCTTTCCTGATTAGTTCCCTCCTAATCCCTACTGTTCCCCAGTTGTTTTGCCAGCTGTCATGCTCTCCACTCTATTGACAAGCCAAATGGCAATGTGAAATTGACTAGGTTTCTAGTCTTATCATTGTGGACCAGCCCCTTAAAGATCCCTTATCTTATGTTTGCTCTGCTTCTGGAGCAGAGCAGAGACAAAGGTGCTGGTAGTCCCACTTCATACTCAGTACAGTTTGTTGGCCACTCGAAGTCCAGCTGAGAAACAAAGGATTACAAGACCCATTAGATATATTGTATTGTTACTAAATAGACACTATTAATCTGGGAGAGAAAAATGTAGGCTGCCACAAATTGAATATAATTTCCAGTAAGTAATTCCTTATTAATCCATCCAATGGCAGCATAATTTCCTTTTACGCACATTAAATTATTTCCTAGATTGGAGATAAATGCCTGCAGATAGCGCACCCAACATTTGATTTCGTACTCCCTGAGCATCGGCATTCAGCTGAGAAGGAAGTCAGTTCCATGCGGGCAAGTATTTCCTATGGATCCCTGCCAAGAAATGGCGATGTGGGTGTGATGGGTTCGGTCACAGACTGTCACCTGATGTGCTGAGATTACCTCTGAGCCCGTTTTCCCTGCCAGCTTGGGACTCCAGAACCTTGCGTGCTTGAGCCAGACACGCTAGCCTGCTGCAACACAGACCCAGGTCTGGCTCATGCCCCTAAAGCTGCAGACTTTAACCAAAAACTGCTCAGCAGGTCACCTATTTCCAGCACCCAGACACCCAGCTCCCAATGGGATCCAAACCCCCAATAAATCCGTTTTAATCTGTATAAAGCTTATACAGGGTAAACTCATAAATTGTCCACCCTCTATAACACTGATAGAGAGATATGCACAGCTGTTTGCTCCCCCAGGTATTAATCACTTACTTTGGGTTTACTAATAAACAAAAGTGATTTTATTAAGTATAAAAGTAGGATTTAAGTGGTTTCAAGAAATAATAGGCAGAACAAAACAAGTTACCAAGCAGAATAAAACAAAACACACAAGTCTAAGCCTAATACATTAAGAAACTGATTACAGGTAAATCTCACCCTCAAAGATGTTCCAATAAGCTTCTTTCACAGACTAGACTCCTTCCTAGTCCGGGCCCAATCTTTTCCCCTGGTACAATCCTTGTCAGTTCCAGCAGACGTTTTAGGTGGAAACTAGGGGTTTTCTCATGACTGGGACCCTCTTTGTCCTGCTCCACCCCCTTTTATAGCTTTGGCACAAGGCGGGAATCCTTTGTCTCTCTGGATCCCCACCCCTCCTTCTAAATGGAAAAGCACCAGGTTTAGGATGGATTTGAGTATCAGGTAACATGTTCACATGTCCTGTGAGACCCCTAGGCCTGATCTACACTAGGGGGGGATCGATCTAAGTTGCGCAACTTCAGCTACATGAATAACGTAGCCAAAGTCGACATTCTTAGATCTACTTACCGCGGTGTCTTCACTACGGTGAGTCGACTGCTGCCACTCCCCCGTTGACTCTGCCTGCGCCTCTCGCTGAGCTGGAGTACAGGAGTCGATGGGAGAGCGCTTGGGGATCGATTTATCGCATCTAGACTAGATGCAATAAATCGATCCCCGCTGGATCGACCGTTGCCCGCTGATCCAGCCAGTAGTGAAGACATACCCTTAGTCTCCATTCTTCCAGGGCTGGCCCGCACGTACCCTGGAAGGTTTGCAAGTAAACAGAGCCATTTATAACCAATTGTCCTAGTCAATGGGAGCCATCAAGATTCTAAACCACCATTAATGGCCCACACTTTGCATAATTACAATAGGACCTCAGAGTTATACTTCATATTCCTAGTTTCAGATACAAGAAAGATACATTCATACAAAGAGGATGAACACACTCAGTAGATTATAAACTTTGTAATGATACCTTACAAGAGACCTTTTGCATGAAGCCTATTCCAGTTACCTCATATTTACACTCATAAGCATATTTCCATAACTCCATGCATTATGGAGTGCAACATCACAGCGGGCAGCAATCCGCAACTCAGCGAGTGGAGACTTCGGGCCACAGACAAAACTTTAAACGTTCAGGCTGAAATTCCACCAAGGACAGAGAGGGCCAGCACGAAGTTTGTGTCACCCACTAGTGAGTGTGTGTTACTGGTCCCTATCTCTTATGAGCCACAGAAGATAGGAGTCTTCTACAGCTCCTGCTTTGGTTCATACTGTAGTAACTGATGGTTTTAGCTTTGGCGGTCCCCAGTTCAATCCTCTTTGCAATGGTCAAGATACCGGCCATCAGGTATGGGCTACTTAAGTCCCAATTAGAGCTCTATGCTGTGATGAATGTCACCCACTGCATGCAGGGCATGTGAATTTTTCCAAGGTGCCAGGTTCCTAGGAGTTAGCATAGCACTGCTCCCCTCCTGCATGCTTCCTATGGCATACAGTATCAGAGCGTCTTTCCTCAGGATCTTCTAAGGGATTCCTCTCCTCATCGGCCCGTGGTCCTCTAGAGGCCATCTCCTCTACGGCACCCCTTCGGTGGTTCAGCAAAGCCCATGGCAAGCCCAGGAAGGCAGTTAACTAATGTGAAGAATGTAGTGAAGGTGCAGATGGGCTGAAGTGAGGATCTTCTTGGGAGATCATGCCACAGCCAAATCATTGCCAGGGCGTTTTCCCTCACGTTCACCCCAACGGTCCCTTTATTGTCATTCTGTTGCCTGACTCCTAGTTTTATTCCCGGGTTCCTTCCCAAGGGATTCCATCTGTCCTTGCTCTTTTCACCCTCTGGGTGTGTTGGACGTATGCACCCCCAACTACCGTAGTCAATCTATGTGTATCCTTTCTGGCCCGATTCTGTGACGTGCCAGCCACCCTTATCTCCCAGTGAGAAGTGAGGGTGCCTGTCACCTCACAGGATCAAGTCATCAGGGCCTGGTCTTCAGCTGGTGTAAATCAACGTCGCACCATTGCAGTCAGTCCCTCCAGGCTATGAACTTCATTTCCTAGTGTGAATATGCCATGTTTTTTCTAAGTTGAATATCAATCTGAAGACTGCAGGTTTGGGTTTCAGCTTGGGTGGCTATTTCAGAGGCAGGCAGGCTGTTTATTACACTGCGTTTCAGGAGTGAGAATCTGTTCTGTGCAATGCAATGCACAACTCGCATCCCAGGGGAGGTGGGCAAAGGTGACTTTACGCCATCTTTCTGCCCTCCCAAGCCTAGGCTATCCTGGGTCTGGAGAAGGCCCCAGCGTAACTTTGGATAGCCCTGGGGACCTGTTTAAGTGATGGCTGCCCTGTGGAGCACAGCATTGCTCAGGATCGAGACAGGCCTACCCCCAAAACACGCCTCCTCCCCCCCGTCCCTGGCATGCTCCCTGTGCCAAGGCTTGCAAGGGTGTCCTCAGAAGGCAGCCCTTCTGGCTGTCTGCCACAGTGCCTGCACTAGGGTGGTATCCTTCCCCAGCGGGAATCAGGAGTTTGAGCAGTGGTTCTCAAGCTTCCACATAGCGAGCCTCTGAGTGCGACCCCCCCTTATATAAAACCGTGTTTTTAATTTATATTTAGCACCAATATAAATGCTGGAGGCAAAGTGGGGTTTGGGGTGGAGCTCCCCCATGTAATAACCTCTCAACCCCCCGAGGGGTCCCGACCCCCAGTTTGAGAACCCCTGAGTTTGAGGGTCCCCTTAAGTCCATTTATCTGGCACAAAGGAGCTGGAATGGGGCGAGGCTCTGACCCCAGATGAGTTTGGATTCCTGGGAGCAGATGCTCATCTGATGTAAATTGGCGCAGCGCCATTGAAATGACACACGCTCGAGATCTGGCCCCAATTTTTGACACAAAGAGAGATTGCCTCATTTCATGCGAACTTGTAGTTAAAGATGAATCGGCAGACATTTTAATTGCTTATTTCTTGTTGCCCTCAACACAAATTGACACGGCACACTTTGTTCAATTGTCTGCAACACTATCACTTAAAGAGAATGCTTTATGCTCTTTTAACGCTGCGATTTAGTGTCCATAAACTTGCCAACATAACTTAACTGCCTCTATCTAATGAAATGCGTTCATAATATCACTCGCTGGTTATTGCAACTGGGAGATGTGCCTTTATCTTTTGAGGCTCATTGAATATGCACCAAAACATGCAACTGATTTTCACCTACTCAAATGCAAGAATAATAAACGCCACTCGCCTACTCTCGCCCCTAGCTCCATTGCAGCCACTGCAGGAAACATAGAATCATAGACTATCGGGGTTGGAAGGGACCTCGGGAGGTCATCTAGTCCAACGTAAAACATTGCAGGCCATTAGGAAATATAAAACACAGTAAGAAGCTAAGGAAACACCCGGGGTCAGATCCTCAGCTGGTGTAATGGCATAGCTCCTACACCAGCTGGTGTAATGGCATTGCTCCTACACCAGCGAGGTTCTGGCCCAATAAATCTGCATCTGCAATGTTGCCAACCCCAAGTGTTTAAAAATCAGAGTCCGGCTCCCAAGAATCATAAGATTGGCTTAAAAACCTTGAGATTTAAAAAAATTCATAACCGTTGGGTTCTTTTTATTTGTTTTCTGATTTTTGAGCCTTTAGGGGTCCCATTTTCAAGCTTTTTTTCCAGCAGCTATCGGAGCCAGAAATTACTTTTTCTTTTCTTAATGAAAACTGAAATTCCCACGTAATCAAATGCCTCCAGGAAGGGGGTTTGTAAGGAAAGAAATATCCTACGATTCAAAATAAAATCGAGATGGTAACAGTGTTGTGTGCCGTGTGCCGGTCTCTGATTGCGAACTGTATATCCCGCAAGATGAAGAGCACTGATTTCGGGATCCAGAAATTCAGGAATCAGTGGCTGCTGGCCTTGGAAGGCTGATCCCTATGCCAAGTGAGAAATCTCCCATTCCCCGGGGCCAGAGGCTGCTGAACTGGGTAGTGAGCTATCCCCTGGCTGACGGCTGTCTTCTGCAGATCAAGCTGAAGAGGGGCAGGGAGAATCGTCTTAGCCTGAAGCTTAACAAATGGAAAATAAAAACAGATGGCTGGGAAGGAATAATGGAGGGGGATGGCCGGACAGTGGCCAGGCATGGAGATGCCCAGAGAGCCTTTCTTTTTACCAGTAAACCCCAGACCAGAGCCCAGGTCCCTTGGCATCCTTGCACTCTCCGAGCAACTCCATTTCGGAGAAGCATTCATTCCCGCCGGCTCTGCGGCGGTGGGTGGGTGGGGAAGGGCTGAAGGTCCCAAGGTTCAGTGATGCTGCATCACTAGAGGCAAGTCTCTCTCCTGCACACGGCCCATCTGCACGGGGCTGACCTTGATCCAGCCCCGAATCCTCACGGGGTTGTCCTTGCAGGGTGCCAGCTGCCTCTCACACGCTGGGAGTTGAGTGCGGGGGAGAGACTAAAGGAGACTCCCTGCTCTTTGCACAGCATACCTAGGGGCCGGCCAGAATCACAGCCCAGGCAGGATGCTACCAGCAGACCAGGAAGCAGCCTGTGTGGGGCTGCTGTGTATTCCCCCAGCCACACCGACTCACGCATGGGTGGGATGGGGCAGGGAGTGGGGCAGAGTCATGGCTCCACCCCACTCAATGCAGCAGCTGTGCCAGGGAAGTACGCTGCCCCAGGGATAGGCTTGGCGCAGGGTGAGACCTGGAGGCAGATTGTGACTGTCTGAGACAGTGTTTGCTTCCTGGTCTGCTCCTGGGGCAATGCAACAGCACATTCGCCCTTGCTTGACTGAACCCTGTGTGAATACATCTTACCTATGTGAGCATTCCCCTTGGCAACGGGGCTGTTCATGCTAGGAAGGGTGGTAGGACTGGGTCACTTTCTTAACGCACCCGAGGGTGAGCAGTTCTTCCAAAGGGAAAGGGACACCTGCCATAACAGGCACCCTGAGTAACAATCGCTTAAAAGGTGCTCTTGGTACAGAGGACTCCGGCCGCAATCTGTACTCTAAACAGAGGATCAAAATGGGTATTCACACTGAAATCCAGACAGGCAAGAAATTAAAAATATAGCCCTAAAAGGTTAACATGTCCCTCTAAACGCGCTTAAATTCATATGCATACCCTTGATGTCTGTCTGAAGTTGGATAGTTTGATATAGTGGATGTATAAACGCACTTCCAGTGAGTGATTCTGCAAATCCTGTTTTGATAAGGTCTTAAATCTGCTGAGATCAGAGCATAACATTCCCTTGTAGCTTCAATGCTAGGTGAAAACTGTGCTTGCCAATTCCGTCTTTTTTCTTCTTCTCTCCTTCAGAATTGTAAGATGCAGCCGTAAATCTTTGCGGCTGTTATAAGCATAGAATTTCAAATGAAAATTGAGCCAAACGCAGCACTGGTGTACATAACTACACTGACACCATTGGAATTGCACCCTGTTTATTCCCTATCTGGATTCGAGCCTATTCTGTTCATTTCCATTTTAATAATTGTTGCACTCTATCTGTCGATCTCGTAACTTTAAGAGCTTGAGATGAATGTTTTGCAATAACTTGTTGTGTGCTGGATAACAATATGTTTCCTAGAAAAGAAGTACAGCCAATATAAAATTCTCCATCACTGTATTGTCCCTACAGTAGATGATTCATAGGCATTTTACTGGGATGAATCACTAAAGGATTTGGTAATATAACTAACGATATTAAATCTATTTAAAGAAGCTTCTGTAGTGTAACTGGATTTCAGTTGTGAAGACTATTTGTTGGGTTGCTATTGTACTCTGATTGCTATATTGACAAGTATGTCTGTGTATAGAGCTGGTTGCAAATTTTTATTTTATTTTTTATAACAAAAAGTGCCTCTTCTACTACCAATGAGAACAGTGTTTATGAGAACATTTCCCTTTTTTTGTCAAAATGTTTCGGTTTTGGTTGTAAAACCCCAAACAGCAAAAATATCAGTTTTTGGCAGCCAAACATAAAACCAGTTCAGTTTTTGGTTTTCAAACTTCAAGTTTTGGCTTTTTGACAAAAAAAAACTGAAAAATGTTCATTGTCTTGTTTGTGTTTCTGCAGGAAATTAAGTACATTACTCTCCGGCTCTGTGTGTTAGTGGAGTCATTCTTCTATTTTGTTTTTACCAGAACTACACAGTCCGGGTATACGCTGCATTGTTGGTTTTACTGGGATTGTAGCATTACATAGTGTATGAGATTAACATGCTACAGGAGTGTTTGGTCCTTAAACAATTATGTGATTTTTTTTGTTGTTGTTTTAGAAATCTATTCTCTGAAGAATATATCTGAGTGGAAATGCGCTCTGGAAAAATCCCTTAATGATGCAGCAAAGTTTCCTCTTCCAATGGAAGTATTCAAGGTAAAAGAGACCCATTTATTCTTTAATTAGAGAGCCACCAATGAATAAATACATCAGGGAGTGAATAGCATCTTGTATTTAACTCTGCTAGGAGAGTGATGCTCTAGTAGGTCATGCTGCGAAAAGTCACACGTGAGATTTTTGCATAAGCTGAAATAAAAGGGTTTTGTTGCTCTACAGATTTTCCATTTGGAAAATTGACTCCTTGGAGTCAAAGATTATTATGGGAGTAGGGGGTGCTTGGCATTGTTTTCTCCCACATCATTTTTTAAAGCACATTGCTATGTAAGGCTTGTGCAAAAGACACCACTTATGTCTTCAAAGTAGGGCTTAAGTGGGACTTAGGAACATAGGAATTGCCAGACTGGATCAGACCCAAGGTCCATCTAGTCCAGTATCCTGTCTCCAGCACCAAAGGAAGGTGAAAGAACCCTGCAATAAGCGGACGTGGGGTAATCTGCCTCCACCCCCACTTAGGTCTCATCTTGGTCTGTAATAGCCAGAGATTGGTTTCAGCCCCAAAACACATGATTTAAAATCCCTTCCAAAAATCTGTTGTCACTGATTATGATAACTCTGAATATTCTTGATTTTGCCATATAAATATCCAATCTCTTAAATTCTTGGCCTCAGTTACTTCCAGTGGCAAAGAGTTCCACCTTTTATCAGTTTTGAATTTCCCACCTTTTACTATAATAGAAGATCCCATTATTCTTGTGTAACGAGACTGGATGCTTCTGTTCTCCCTATCTACCTTCTCTAGACCATTCATAACTGTATATATTTTTACCATGTCCCCTCTTATCCATTGTCTTTCTAAGGCGAACTGTCCCAGTCTGTCAGCTTCTCTTCGTAGGAGCCCAGGAGCATTCTTATCACTTGTCTCTAAACTCCTTCCAGTTCTGCAATACCAGTTTTTAAGTTGGGTTGACCAGTACAGCACACAGTAGGACCAGTGTTTCAAAGTCCTTACATTGGCCCTCTGCACTATGGTAGGTTTCACCCTATTGTTGGTAAAATCTTTTCAGAAACTCTTAGTTCTTTTTTTGTGTTTATCCCAAGAAGCTGCACGTTCCAGGTCCAATCCAGCTCCCATAGAAGTCAATGGCAACATCCCGTTGATTTCAATGAGAGCAAGATCAGACCGTGCAGAGAGATTATAATAGCTGGCCATACGTGTCGTGCAAAGAATATTTTGTGCTCACCCTCTCTTGAGTCCGCGTTAATTGTTTTGGTGATCTAAACTGGGGCCACTAGTGCCATTATTGTAATACTCTGGATTTCAAAAGTATCTTCTGTCTGAAGATCAAAAGGTATGTCACAAACACTCAGGGAAGCCTTGTTAGTTCCATTGCACAGCTAGGAGAACTGGAACATAGCGATAAAATGCTGCTCTAAGTCTGTGGAAGAGATATGCTGGTGATAGGTGCAATAAGAAGGCCTGAAAGATATAGGCTAGAGTCCAGATGGTTGTGCTGCCATACCTGTGCCAAGACCACCCAGTCACCTCTCTTCTCATTCTGCCTTCCTTCAGCTGATAACCTGCTCGTTTGATGAGTGAATTTTGTCAGACTGTCTCATGGAGCCCGTTAGCAGGTGTGCACTGCATCTCCTAGCAAATCTTTTGCATCAGGGGGAGGGATAGCTCAGTGGTTTGAGCATTGGCCGGCTAAACCGAGGATTATGAGTTCAATCCTTGAGGGGGCCACTTGGGGATCTGGGGCAAAATCAGTACTTGGTCCTGCTAGTGAAGGTAGTAGGCTGGACTTGATGAGCTTTCAAGGTCCCTTCCAGTTCTAGGAGATAGGATATCTCTATGAATAAATTAATCCCTTCCTTCATCATTGCATAGTCCCCTGCTTCCTATTTGCCAAGCATTTTAAATATAGGTTTCATCATTACTCTCTATGGGGGTGGAATTCACCACTGTGCAGTGAGTCAGTGCACGACCACTGCATCACTCACATCCTACTGCATCCCCAAAATAGGGGTCACATGGGCACTAAGCAATTACAGATGTCTGGTGCTGGCCCCTTACACAGGGTTGACTTTTACCCTGTTGTTGGTGATGTTAGGAAGGGTAGTTAAGGAATGGAATAAGCTTCCCAGAGAGGCTGTGGAATCCCCATCACTGGAAGTTTTTAAAAACAAGTTGGACAAACCTATCAGGGGATGATCTAGGTTTATTGTGTCCTGCCTCAGCGCAGAGGGCTGGACTAGATGACCTCTTAAGATCCCTTCCAATTCTTCATTTCTATAATTCTGTGTCCTTTAAGGAACCCCTGGTTTATATTTTATTTATTTGTTAGGAAAGACAGCCACTTTGTACTTTTCTGCTGACAATAACACCTACCTCTTGTATAGCACTTTTCATCGGTAGATCTCCAGGCACTTTACAAAGGAGGACAGTATAATTATCCCCATTTTACAGCTCAAGAGATTGAGGCAGTGAGAGGGGATATGACTTGCCAAAGATGTCACAGCAGGCCAGTGACAGAGCCAGGAATAGAAGCCAGATCTCGTGAGTCCCAGGCTCTACCCACTAGATCACTCTCCCTGCCCAATCTCCCATCCTTTATTTTCACTTTCCAAAGACAGGTGTAGCCAACTCCCTAGGAAGGGTTCCGGGCTCTGTGGTCCAACTAAGAAGCACTTTAATTAGAACAATTTTTTTCAAAACTCTCTGGGTGAAATCCACGTCTGGCAGAGGGCTAATGCAAAGCCCGTGCTCATTGAAGTCCCATTTATGCCCTATTTTGAGACTATAACCAGCACGTAAGGGATGCATAGGCCTCGCGTTGGCTGTCTGCACAAAGGTGATGTCCAGTCACTGTCCCCATATTACTAATGATTCTGAGTATACACTTTTTATTTCAATTATCTGTTTCAAGGTCAAACCATGGTGGTGCTAGGATTAGCCCACAAAGAGGTGATGCTGATACTTAATTTCTGTTCCTGATCATATTCCGTGTTTGAAAGAGTTCAGAATATTCCTGGCAAGGCACAAAAAAAGCTTTTTTGAATGTACTCCTTCTGGCTGTGGGATCCTCTCTTCTCAGCGTGCAAACTTACGTCCGCTTACTTTCATGATGGCATCAGGACTGTGTTTTTAGACTCAGTGAGTCCCACTTTTAAGGTGCCTTGTGGTGGGAGATTGCTGGGCTGCTCATCTGTTACGAGGAAAGAGCAGCGCAAAGCACTGTGAATCGACTAAGATGAGCATTACTTTGGGACTGAACACGAAGAAGGGCAAAAAGCACAGGTGCTTTTTGGTTCGTCAAACCAAATCTGGGGTGAGGTTCAGCTCAGCCCTGTCTTCTCCAAGCCCCTGATTCTGGGCATCTATTCATAGAATCGTAGAATATCAGGGTTGGAAGGGACCTCAGGAGGTCATCGAGCCCAACCCCCTGCTCAAAGCAGGACCAACACCCACTAAATGGTGGGGGGGTTGGATGAATATTTCTGCTCCGGGCCCATTTCTTGTTTCAGTTGCAAATGAGTAAAGCACAGAGTGATTTTTGTTTTGTTTTGAAAACGTCACCATCAGTCAGGCACCTGCTTTGCAAAACCAGAGAGACTCCATGTCTGTGTCTCATTTTATGTCAGTCTCCAAAACTGGGGGTGAGAGGCAACATTTGACTGCAAGGGGCCAGGTCAGAGTAGCTCTGTTGAGTCACTTATGTCAGTGAAGTTACTCCACTGGTGACCAGCTGATGATCTGGCTTAGGTTCTGATTTGGGGTCCATTTCTGCTTCCGTGAGTCAATTGCAGACCTCCCATTGATTTCAGCAGGAGCAGTATTTTGAAGCCTACCTTGGTTCTTTCGCCTCCCCCCCCCCTTTTCCTTTGGTTTTATTTGATTACTATTATTTTAAAATAGTGAAATAGTGGCTGAAATCCTGGCCCCTCTGAACTCAATGGGGAGTTTTTCCATTCACTTCATTGGAGCTGGGATTTCATGACACATGGGCATGAGGACAAGATGAACCCGGCTGACAAAAGCTTGCATTTCATTTACTCAGCCAATAGGTCCAGAACTCCTTCGTTCAAAACATACCGAGCCTGATCCTCCTCTCCTACGTTGCTTTTATGCTGGCTTAACTTCATCGGCGTTACTCCTGATTTACACCAGCATAAGGATGAGGCGGATCAGGCCCATTGTCTAAATGTCTGGTACAAAAATCTTTTAATTAAGCAATAAGGCCTCAGCGTTTGTGCGGTTTGAAAATGTCCTGCCACTGGTGGGGACTTGGGCATGAACTAAAAAAAGCCAGCAGCTACCCCAGCTGATGATGGGCTCATCTGCTCTTGTGAGCTAAGCAGTGTCTGACTTGGCTGCTCCGTAGATGAGAGACCTCCAAGGAAAACCTTAGATACTCAAAAATGTGATGGTGGTGATCCAGAAGGTGGTGGTCTTCACTGAAAGTCAGAGGAGAACTAATTCCTCCTCATGGTGCAACAGGGCTCCGGGGGGCTATAGCTGTCATCTGTTTAAATGAGCTGTAAAACAGAGATCATGCAATTGTTAACGATCTGGGGGCATTTTTGCAAAAGTGTAAGTGTCTACTCTGCTGTACTCGGTAAATTCCGGTTTGGGTAATTATAGTCCATCGATTCTGATCCGGCAAAGCATTTAAGCATGTCTTTAACTTTAAGCACACAAGTAATCCAGTTGAAGTCCATGCTTAAAGTTAAGGACATTCTTAAGTGTTTTGCAGGATTGGGGTCTAAATTACTTTTGCAGTTTCAGTTGCGCACATATGGACGGCGGGTGAATGACCTGTTGGGGGAGACTAGCCCCTGCCCCACCCGCTGCCCGAGGTCCCTTCCCTATCACCCCCACCTCGCCTGCTGGAGCCCAGAGCACCCCCACGGTAACCGCTGGCCCCCCAGGCCACCCAAGCGCCCCCAGCCCTGGAGCGACAGGTGGGCGGCTTGGTCCCAGCGCCCCCAACCTCAGCCCCAGAGTGCCGGGTGGGTGAGCAGTATGGCCAAAGCGC